AAATGTATTAGCTATGTCGTTTGCACCAAGGGACAATCACGAAGCACAAATACAGTTTGCACTGGAACGTGGTGTACCTGCTATTATTGGCGTGTTGGGTAGTATACGCCTTCCATATCCATCTAGAGCCTTTGATATGGCTCAGTGTTCGCGATGCCTTATACCATGGACTTCAAATGGTTAGTATTTGGAGCGATTAAACTCCATTATATCTTGTTTAATTTTTTTATGTGGCTTCCAATTCGTTTCTCTAATTTCTTGAATAAGAATTCAAACTTATCTAAGATAAGCTAGAAGCAATTAAAAAAAAGTCGATAGTGAAACGGTATCATTACAAGTTTTATAAAAATTGTATAAATACTCTCTAGCCAAAGAACCTAGCAGGTAGCTATTATAGGTTTTATGCATAAAACCCTCTGTTTTTCGTTTAAAAAGTTTATCTCAGCTCGTTAGAAGTTGGCTCGAAGAGTTTTGAGCCTCATTTAATTGACGCTAAAACCTTATAGATAGTCTCTATGATTTGGTAAAACTCTCGTAAATAGTCTCTGTTATAAGGACTATTTATGAGGGCTTTAATGAACTAGATGGACTAATTATAATATTTAAAATCATAGGGACTAAATTTGAAAATTAACCATTATATTACTATTCTAATTGCAAAGGTCCTGATATGCTTCAACTTTTGATTTTACATTGATCTGAGTATCAATCCATCTCTAAGCTATGAACTTGTGCATACAGATGGTATCTATCTTATGGAAGTTGATAGAGTCCTGAGACCCGGTGGCTATTGGATCCTATCTGGCCCTCCAATCAACTGGAAGACCTATTACCAGACGTGGAAACGCACTAAGGAGGATCTAAATGCAGAGCAGAAGAAAATCGAAGAGCTAGCCGAGAAGCTCTGCTGGGAGAAAAAATATGAGAAGGGAGATATTGCCATCTGGAGAAAAAAGGATAATGACAAATCCTGCAATAGGAAGAATACTGCAAAAATGTGTGAACCAAATGATTCTGAAGATGTCTGGTGAGTTTGTGCTCAAAACGCTCTCTGATGTTATGCATATCGTTTGATATATGTTTCTGCTACAGCCTTAAGAAAATACTTCACGTTGCTTTAGTACTCATTTGCCATTGCCATGCTCTGTTCTTTTTGCTTTCAAAGGAAGCCAGTATAGTATTGTATTTTGGCTGTTTCGGTTCCGTTCGATAACCATTTGATTTTTTGTTTTCGTTTTGTGATCAGAAATGATCGATTTAACATCGTATTCTTATTTCAAATAGGAGAGAGATACAAAATTTAAAGGCAATGCTTGAGTTTATATACTTTTTCTAATTATGACCCTTATCACTCTCCTCCTCTTCCTGTATTGAATTCACAGGTACCAGAAAATGGATACATGCATCACCCCTTTTCCTGAGGTAAGTAGTGATGAAGAAGTAGCGGGAGGGAAATTGGAAAAGTTTCCTGCACGGCTCTTTGCTGTTCCTCCTCGAATATCCAATGGTTTGATTCCAGACGTCACAGCTGAATCTTTTGAAGAGGACAACAAAATTTGGAGAAAGCATGTTGATGTTTACAAGAGAGTAAATAACTTGATTGGCAGCCCAAGGTACAGGAATATTATGGACATGAATGCAAACCTCGGTGGATTTGCAGCTGCAGTTCACTCGAAAAATTCTTGGGTGATGAATGTTGTACCTACAATTTCCAAGAACACTCTTGGAGCCATTTATGAGAGAGGTCTGGTTGGCATGTATCATGATTGGTACGTTCCTCTGTCACTTTCCTTTTCCGGTTAAAGCCATTTTATTGAGTAATCTATCTAAAACAACTCTTTGACTAAATTGTATTCATAGATAGTTCAAAGAAATCACAACATAGCTTTAAGTGGGATTACACTTGACTGATTGAGTAACTCGGTTGCCTGCTTTTGAGGCCTTCTGTCTTGGAAAAAACCGTGGCTCACTGGCATTGATTTTGATATAAGAAGATAAGATAGTTGCAGTTCCTGATCCATATGCATGCATTTTGTCTAGGTGTGAGGGCTTTTCTACGTACCCGAGGACGTACGACTTTATTCATGGGAGTGACGTATTCGACCTGTACGAAAACACGTAAGTACTTTAATCTTCTTCTTCTATAATCATAGTTTTAGTGCAGTGGTTGATCGAGTACCTAATATTAACAACAAAGGAAGCCTCCCATTGAAGTGAACATCTTTGTCATGTCAATCTAAACATATTTGAAAAGGCTACTTTTGTGCTCAAGTCTCAACATGAAGCAAACCCATTAGACGTTTAAAGTTCTTCCTTCTTATATCTGTTGCTTGACAAGAAATGCCTTAAAAAGGTATCTTAGGGGGCATGATGTTTGTTCTCTTCCACTCCCAAGCCACTTGTACCTATAAGTTTTAGCCTTTAGGATCGACCACAATAATCAAACTAGGGAAAAATATTTTTCGCATCCAATTTTGAGATAATATGTTGAGGATTATTGAGAATGAGTCCCACGTTGGTTAATTTAGGGGAAGATCGTGGATTTATAAGAGAAATACTATCTCCATTGGTATGAGGCCTTTTGGGAAGCCCAAAGCAAAGCCACGAGAGCTTATGCTTAAAGTCGTAATTCCTAACATAATATTCATTTGGTTCTTCGATTTCAAAATGTTGCTCTCTTAGTTTTGCCTCTTAGATTGCAAAATATTACATTTCCACGGTGAGTTTTGAGTTTAGTTTCCAGTTAATAGCTCCATATAACAACCAGTACATTACATATCTGAAATGATAAATAGGTGCAATATCGAAGACATACTTCTAGAGATGGACCGTATATTGAGGCCAGAGGGAATCGTCATCCTCCGAGACGGAGTGGACGTCCTGAATAAGGTGAAAATAATGGCTGCAGGCATGAGATGGGACGTGAAATTGATGGATGACGAGGACGGTCCTCTTGTGCCTAAGAAGATAATGGTTGCTGTTAAACAGTACTGGGTTGTAAGCAGCAGCAGCAGCCCACAGAAGAACAACAACAGCACATCCAGTGATGAATAGATGGGATCCGATTAGAGAGCTAAGAAATGCTAGAATTTTAGCAGCCTCTCAAAAGGAAGTTTTTGTTCCTTTTTTTTTAAAAAAATTTATTCACTTGTAAGCTAAGCTATATAGTGTTATTGGTAAAGTAGAAAGAACTTGTACAATGCTTTATAATCTCAGTTCCCCAAGTAATTGGGTAATGATTGCTGAAGATGCATATTCATTATTCATAATTTATTCACATTTACTTCTTATTATCCAAAATTCAAATAAAATCGAAAGCTCAAGAACTTATCGGATATTTCAAATTTAGGGATCCATTTGAAAGAAAAAATGGAGTTTTAGGAGACTCACGAACCTAATTTGATACAAATATAAAAGTTCAAGGATTAAACTTAAACTTTTGTTTATAGGATGAAATGTTAGACAACGGGAGTATAATTAGTATTAGTTTAGTCATTAATTTTAGATCGAAGTTATTCTTTTAATTTATTGTAAGGCTATAGATATCATCATTTTTTCTTAGGAGTGTTGTAATTACCCTTTTTCGAGAATCTTAAGTCAAAGGCTACTAACTAACGCGGAAGGTGGGAGGAGTCAAAATCACGACATGAATCTATCTCAATCTTATAGGCCTAGGACTCACATATACGCTTGACTCCTCAACTCATATTTGATCTATAAAAGAAATGCAACATGAATAAGTATAAAAAATAATCAATAAGTAGTTTACTCGTAAATTCATAAATCATTCTTAAATCTTATGCCAAATAATTCATCTTATAATGTTCGTAAGTTTTATTACATGTTTTTAAGTAATAGGTTTTGACAAGCTAGCAACTAGGCTTTATCAGCTCAATCGAACTCATGTAAGATTCTAGGTTTTCGAGGCTCATTATTCCTCGTCATATAACCCATGGGAACCTATCGAGTCCTTATAATCCAGTTCTTTTGAAACTCATCACTTTTCATGATCTAGCCCTTCAAGATCCTAATTTCTTATCGTCAAACCCCACCTAAAACTCATTTCCTCCCCCCATAATCTAGCTCCTCATCATTTAGCTCCTTTGAACTCATCTATCTTATTAAGGCTTTTCGAGATTTGGATGTAACAATCCTACTTTTTCTTTTAAAATATTTTATTTTTAAAGAGACCTCGAACTTAAATAATTATAAACAATTGATATGAATCTGTCCAAGGGAAAATTCTGATACCAAATGATACGGAATCATGGGCTCTGATACCAAATGACACGAATCACTGCAACAGGGGAGTAAGATTCATATTATCTGGTTGATCGAATATCTCAAGGCAAAAACATTTGTTTGAGATTCAAATCACTCTACAAGCAAGATTGATCATGTCAACTTGCAAATTAGTCATTGGCTAAAGAAAAACACAAATGCTTCTTTTACTACATTGTTTTTTAAGTTCTTACAAAGATAACGTATATCTCATCATATAGCCACAAAATGAAAACTCTCAACCTTCCACGAGCCTTTCCAAGAGTTTAACTTTCATCATTTATGATCATAATTAACCAGGATGTATATTTCATGACCATAATTAGTCACTACGTAAATTACTCTAAATTATGATCCAACCAAAATGTATAACAATGAAGCTTCATTCTTCTTTAATGTGGCACGAACTGAAATATCTTTTTGATAATTTCAACAACATTTTCTTCACATCTTCGTTAAAGTATATTGATTCGTTAAAGTATATTGATTGTATGATTAATGTCTCTTGTTTCATATCATATTTAATATTTGATACTGGAATATGACCATGGAAAATATCTCAAAAGGCATATATAAAGACACTACGTAAAGATTTGAAAATCAACTCAACTGTTCTTCTAAAAAAGACGGATTTGAGTGCCGAGAATTATTGCCTATTCACTTCACCATTAATATATATATATATATTCCTAACAATTATTCATTCCATGGAAGAAAAATAGTTGCTATCAAAACTTTATTATCCTAAAAGGAACAGCATAGGCACCAAAAATTCAGTCATTTTACATTTAATTCACAAAGACTCCCAAATCATGGTCCTATCAGAAAAAGACACATCACCTTTTCCACCTCATCTTCTCTGAAAAAATCTAATGAAATTCAATTATTACATCCTCCTTTTTCTGCTATCCTCACAGCCACAACTCTAACCGTGGTGTCAAACTCACCAACGTGGCACCATGCCTCACCCCATCCCCCACGTGACCCTGCCCTTGTCACCTATGGTTTTGGGCCCCACTTCTCTTTTATCTTCTTAATCAGATGGTCCAAGTCAGCCGGACAGTGGAACAGCCCGCCACCCAATGACATTTCCTGTTCTTGAGTGACCAAACTATGTTATGGGGCACTGTCAGTGGAGTAGTTTAGAGCCGTTGATGTGAAAAGGGGTGGTCGAGATTTGTTGTCTTGAGAGCTCTGATAGTACACTTTCTGTTGAAGGTGGCTTTAGCCCCAAAGGCAATGGCAACCATGGCTTGCTTATTGCTTCTTTCACTACTTTGTCAATTTCCTCATCAGCCTGTATCAGCAGAAACAAAATTTTTAGTCCTTAAAATACTCGAATGCAATCCAAGACATGTCTCAATCAAACGAGTTTCGGTTCTCGTCTCGTCGGTTTGGTCGGCCTTTTACCATTTCAAGTCTCAAATGAAGCTTCTTTTTCTTAGTGTTTGCTTTTCCAGTTCGGAAAGTTCGGAAAATTTGGACTTGGATACCACATGTTTCAAAAGCATGCCATTCTAGAAGTAGAATGTAACTTGAAATGAACAAATCAATAATGTGTCGTTTTTCTTGGTTGGGAATGAGAATGAAGCAGTGAAAACCTCTCCCTAACAGCCGTGTTTTAAAGTAAAAACTTTGAGGGGAAGCCCAAAAAGGAAAGACTAAAGACGACAGTATCTGCTAGTAGTAGACTTGGGCTGTTACTAGTAGTAGACTTGGGCTGTTACAGTGTAGCTAGCAAACCTATAATATAAGATTAACTATCCCACCTATTAAACATAGGCTTCAACTTTTAGTTCTAACGCCTCGTCAATGACGTGAAACACCATTAACGCATTACAGATCAATTTCAACCAACAAAACTTAAAAAGATAGTGCAGAGAGATGAAGAAGATCAATGCTGTATTACCAGTTGAAGATCAACAGGACTCGGCGCAATGCCGTAGCTTTTATCGTGCACATCGACATATTCAAATATCGCAATATGCTGCTGATTCCAGGAAGTATGGAGAAAGAAGAGGTTATTAGATAAATCTAACAATCAATAGGAACATGTCTGTTGGAAATGCAAATAAAAGGTATACCCACGTGAGGATTTGAAGAGAAAGGGCTATGAGGGGGTGGTGGTGTCACAGGGCATCCCCACGCCTCACCATGCACCTAAAAGCAATGATCACTTGTTTAGAACTTAAGAACTACTGAAAGTCCTATAAATCATGTGTGCTAGTTTGTTATAGTAAGAATGTTACCCCGAGATACGACTTCCACGGCCAAGTTTCTGGCGGTCGCCATGGCGGATAACTGGGAGGAGGCGCCCACATTTGAACACCAGGGGAGGGGCAAGCCATATGACCCCACGATCCGATGGGGGCGACTGGCATTACATGATTTGAATGATAGGGAGGAGGGTAGGCCATCACAGGTCTCTGTGGATGTGGATAGTAGTTCTTCCTCATTGGATCCTTTGAACTCGACCAGCTACCATCTTCTTCTTTCGGCAAGATGTGTCGCTTATGCATTCGATACTTCTGCTTGATACTTCGAGCCGTAAAGATACTCGTCTTTGCACAAACCATGTCTAAAATGATAGCTTACACAACTATAAAGAAAGCAAGTTTGATACCAACCTGAAGATGGCTAGCTACATTATGCCTTGTCAGGCCTTCAACTTTCATCAGCTCTAGAATTCGAGAAGGAATTGCTTGATTCACTCCGAGTTGTTCCACTGCCTGTACGAACTTTCGATGCAGTTCGGGTGTCCAGTCTACCTGATCCCGTGACGAACAACATGAATGCAGAATCCAAGGAGATTCAATCTCAATTCAAATTCAAGTTCAAGGATATTCTTACCTTCAGCTTCTTCCCACTTACTTTCGTCCTACACGGATTACCAAGACCGCATGCTTTGCTCTTGTTTTTTTCGGAACTGCTAATGTTGTCTCTATCGTGTAACTCGTGATCGACATTACTCGCAGCCCCACAGCCATCAGTAGAGTTCTCTTCCTCTTTAATAACTTCCTTGTCAGATAACTGAGAGTTCTCCACTTGAGCAGTACAAGTAGTTTCGACAGATTTAGACTCCTCCCCGTCTTGCTCGCCGCACTCTTTCTCGAGCAAATCGTTCATTTGATCCACCAATCTCATTCCATGCTTTTGCTGAGGAGTTGAAGGAGCTGGATACTTGTCACTTCCTTCTGGTAGTAGTAGTAGTTCATGATCATCGACATTGTCGCAGCTCGATATTTCCAACTCATGTGGAACTTGATTCTTGTTCTCATTGTTTTCCAATTCAAGATGCAATATGGAGGCAACAGATTCTTTGATAGGCTTTAAAGAACTCGGGACGGCGTTCCCGCCTGCATTGAATGCCTGCTTAGGATTAACAGATCAGAAAAAATTGAAGCTTAAAGCATGTGTGGAAATTTGTTGGCACAATCTAACAGACCTTATGAACAACATGCTGCCAAATGTTCCTAAGTTTGTCCTCGGAGACCGGTTTCTGAAGGAACTCGATCGCTCCAAGCTGAAAACACGCCATCACAAACACTTGATCCCATGTTTAAACTCAAACAAAAATCCAGAATCGTTTAAATTTCGAGTAGTATTACCTCTATGCACTTCATCATCGTGCTGAGGCAATGGATGTTCGAAATCACTGGTCGAAACGAAGCTCACACATTAGAAACCACAAAACTTTGATATCAAGTTCTGTATGAACTTGAGAATGAGTAGCAAACATAAAACTACCATGTACAATAAAATAACAAGACAAGGTCTCATGAACATACTAATGGTAGGCAAGTCCTTAACAGCTTCAAGAAATTTAAACGTCCCATCGTGATCACTCGCCGTTACCTGTAACCAAACGCAACATCACGCTGTTGAAGAACTAACCAAGATGGTCCATCTAATGGGGTAACAGATACCATTTAATATGTTCTAACGAATCAAGAACAAATTTGTGGTATTTCAATCAGTCATCAACCATTACCTCGACAATGGCGACATGAAACATTTCGGGTTCGCTCGAAATGGCTAACAATGCATCGTTCTCATTGCAGTAAGTCACAACTGCCATGAAAATGTCAAAGGTTTCAGATATATGCATTTTATGTGAAGAACAAGGATAGGACTCCATGGGAGCAAGCCATGTCTCACCAACATACTCCATTTCCTCAAGCTTTGTTTTTATCTCAGCAGCAGAATTGCTGTCTCCATCAAGCAGGAGAACTCTAAGCCCCTTTGGAAAATCTTTCCACCCATGTAAATCACTAGCAGTGCAAACCATAGCTCGTTGTGCATCGTTCTCACGTAGCCGAAACGTGTCGTAGATCGCCCCTTTTCAGCTCCAAATAAGCTCCTTCAACCTTTACATAACCCAACATAGGTTCAAATGATACTGTTCTCTGCAAGCAGAGATCATCACCAATCCAAACAAGTAACAAACGTTTATTCACCAAAAGATTCCCAATAGATCTGCCAGGGAAAAACATATCAAAAGGGTATGCAGGGAACTATCAGGATCATGTTTATAAAGATCATCTGCCATTGAAATGAGTTTCAAGCTAAACAAAGAAACATCAGAACAGCAAGAAAAAACATGAGAAGTTAAAGCTAAAGAAACATGTCTGGTTGACTAATCGATCTAAACTTTTGACTCATCAATAACTGAGAGAAACAAAATGTGAGCAGGAGATCATAGATTGAAACCATTGATTTTCACAGATTGAAAGCATTTTCCATAAGGGTGGAGTAAGATCTCCAGAAAACTAAGAAGAACAAGCAAGAAATTCATCAAATAAACAGAAAAAAGAAAAGAAGAGCCAAAAAAAGGGGTTGATGGTATTAAACGAAAGGGGGAAAAGAAGAGCTAAACATTAAAATCCCACCTCTTCCATGCAGACAACAAGAACAAAAACCCCACAAAAACTAAGAAAAGAACAGAAAAGGCTTCATTTCACCACAAAAATGAGGTTTTGAAACAACATTAAAGCAGAGAAGCCTCAACTTTCACTACCTTTTGAGAGATAAGCAATGGCTCTGGTGCTTCGAAACAGAGCCCTTCTTCTTCTTCACAATCTCAACCAGAGAGAGACAGAGAGCTAGCGGGTGCAGAAGCTTTTGTGTCAATGAACACAACCCCAGCTGCCATATAACGTCAATATTGCTTTCACTATTGAAAGGTCAATATTGCTTTTTTCAGTCACTACCAAAATTTCTTGCCCTTTTAACGAAACCCCAATACACCAAAAACAAACCCCAAAAACCACTTTCTTTCTTCCATTTCAAAGATTTGGAAGTTCCACGTTCGCAAATTTAGGGAATAATCGTAGTTTTATAAGTACTACGAAAGCTTTTTGAAGAAGTCCAAAGCAAAGATAAGAGAATTTATAGTCAAAATAGACGATATTGTATCATTAAAATCCCTTTTATCGTAAATTCTCCGCAAACCCGGATGAGAAAATCAACCCAACAATTAATATAGTTAAGTGTGGATTTATTTATAGATTCAGTGTTGTTTAGAATGAAATGGGGACTTGATTGTTTGGCCAAAGACAGTAAAAAGTTTCAAACTTTTGGTGTCTCATGCTGATGCCCATTCCCATAGGGCCGCCCAAGCTTCATGATGTGAAGAATAATTTTGCTTATGATTTTGAAATTTGAACTCATTTTGGTAAAAAGGAATTATTTCTGTATTTGGTTGGTTGGATTCTCAATTTCTTTTTTTTTCAAATCATCATGTCTTCTTTGTTTATACATACAAAATAAAATAATCCCACGTGTAAATGACTATATAATGATTATTATAATTATTCCAAACTATTTATATTCTTTTTTTTTCAATATTCTTAGAAAAAATCACTAGAAATTGATTTCTTATGTTTTAGTTTAATTGGGATTTTGTTTTTATTTTAAAAAGAATTTTATTTCATGGATGAAGGGTATTTTGGTCAATTCGTGCTTGAGAAGTTAAACAAGTTTAAGTAGGTAGTTAGTTCAGTTGTATTTTGGAGTATAAAAGGTAAGTTATCAGGTGTGTGAAGATCCATCTTCTTATGATACACCTGCACTGTTAATATGGGGCAACTACCACAGTGTACCCATCTTAAAGGAAATTAAAAAAAAAATCAATTTATTTTGACTTATAATATATAAAATGTATAATATTAATTTAAATTATGGATTGATAAATAAATTATTTACTGAAAAAAAATTAAATTATCTAATTCTAGATGACGATTTTGTACGGATAATAACAAATATTTAATTTGAGAAATTTGCCATAAATTTAAACATTCACATATATCGTAAATATGAAAAAAAAGACGTTCATAATTGGTGGAACATAATTTTCATGATTGTTCGTTAGGTTTTACTTTCTTTTTCTAGTGATATGCAAAGTATTTTTTGTACACACGATTCACGCATGCATATATAAACCCACTAGATGGTCTTGTAGATTCTAGGCCTATTTACGGGCTAGTGCCCGCTCATGCTTCTAAAAACTAACAAAAGAAAAATTAGCACAAATAATATTGTGGTGTATGCGCCCGTGCATATCACGTTCATGAAGCAATCCATGATCACATGTAGAATGTCCATTTACCCCCATGGGGTCGGGGGCGTGAAGACTCACCCCAAATGGTGTAAGGAATCTTTATTAAACATAAAATGAGAGAGGAAGTGAAGAGAGATTTCTCTCCATCACATAAACGGTCCGAGAGATTATATGAAGTTTAGTGCATCTTATAAATATATAATTGTAGGAACATGGAATACAATCTCTCGAACGGTTTATGTGATCATCATTATTATTTTTATTTTTATTACAAATTATAATAAAATGGATCTTCAGACGATTATATTATATATTGACTAATAAACCTAAAGTTTGTGAAATTGGGGTCAAAATGATGAAGTGCAGTGATATTACCTCATATTTAGAGACTATGATTATAATATTTGTTTTTTAGAAGATTATATTATAATATCAAATTTTAATTTTTTTTTATAGAAATTAAGTCGGTAGAACATTATATTATATTTTTGTTTCTTACCTTGTTTTGATAAAAAAAAAATGGTAAAATAAAAATTATGAGTTAGAAATTTTCTTGGGAAGAACAATTTTTTAAAAGATATAAAACATAAGAAAATAGAAAATGGGGCGATCCCCACACATTTTTTTGTGGGATTTCCTGATTCCTACAAAGATAAACGAGAAATTTCATGGGATGAGAAATAAAAAAAAAAAAGGGGCAAGGTGGGGATGAAGAAGATTTCTCTGTCCCCGTGCCCGCTCCATGGACATCACTAATCATATGACATACACCATACATGAGGTCATGGTTCAATAGGATAATACAAATAATGTTTTCATACTTATCGTCACATAAATTTCTTACAAAACATAGAGACGTATTCATGATATTTCATGCATGTTTATCATACATGATACATCATAATGCCTCACAAGATATGAATATGATCAATATCAACATTGCCATAATCAAATATAAAAGAAATTATATGCACCACATTAATCATTCAGATATTAGAATAAGGAAAATATGGTCATAGAATACATGTTATTCATGCGTCAAACTGTTTATCGTGCTCCAAAATAAGTCAAATTAACTTTTAAATTTATATCAACTTTTAAAAAATATCTATAGTATAATAAAATTTTTAGTTTGGTCCCTTCTTCAATTTTTGTTTTAATTAGATCATTGTGTCAACCATGGTTCAGTTAGATTCTTTTATTTAGCTCAATAACAATAAAATAATTTACATTTAAAAAACATATGTTATAATATATTTTAAGAAGGTTTTAAAAGAGATTAAATTATTTTGAAAAGTTAAAATTGTGGGACGATTAGGTTTATCTATGACGTTTCGGGACAGTGCCTTGAATCCCTACAAGTAGAGGATTATCAAATTCGCTATTCACCGTCCGCCCTAATTCTAAATCAACCATAGACTAGCTTTACACTACGAAAATACTGCTTAGAAAGTTCGAGGGAAGAATCCAAAACCCGAACTACAACCGAATAACAACTCGTACTTAAGCATACACATTGAGAGCTGAACTCAAAGCAATCAATCTGGACATCACGTAGTTGTTTTTGCAAGATCTTAATTTTAATTGGTAGAGTGGATCAAACATTTGTTCAGTTGAGTCACTTCGTGTCTTATGATTTAGAACTTGTTTCCGCTTACCCAAACAACTCCATTTTTGCCAGAGGAATTTCTTTAAATAATCTAATTTTAAAATTTGAAAATGAAAATGAAAATAAAATTGTAGATATTAAAAAAAAAATTTAATTTTTAAGAATAAAAAAAAAATTGGGAGAGGAAATTTAATGATGAAAGAAAATAAGACAGAAAAGTAATTGGAGCGGAAGGATGCGTCACGTCATGGGTGAGGTTAAGATATATGGACAAAAAGCATGGAAATGGAGCTTTACTCTCACGTGATACTCACGTGCTTTTTGTGACTTTTTTTTTCTTCTTCTTCCAATTATTATTATTATTTCACCACTAGGGCGTGAATTTAAATATTAAATATTCATTTCTCATTTCTCATATATATAGTTTTTTTTTTCTATACATGTTATATATGTATATTTGGTTATTTTATTAATAATTTATCATAATTCGTATTAATTTTTGAAAGATAATGTGCATAATTAATTTAAATAATTTATTTGAAAGTTACGAGATGTATATGCCCTAAAGTATGTAATATGATTTAATATAGGTGAAATTAAGTAGAATATAGATTTCGAAAGCAGCTACATAGTAATTAGTAATTTCGGTTAAGTTGTAATAGCTCAAAAAAAAAAAAAAAAATCATAAATAGATAAATAAACAAAGAAATAAACGAATAAAAATAATTAAAAAAAATTATGTTAATAAGAGTAATAATAAATAAATAAATACATAAAAAAGAAAAACTCTTATCCACTCCTTTCTACTAACCTTTCATCTCTCCTCAACCCACACGCTAGAAAATCACAATTTGTAAAAGGAAACAGAAAAGAAACAATTGTCAGATTTATTTGGAGAAAAAAAAAAAAGAGAATGACCTTTACCAGTTGAGATTCACCTTCACCTGAAGAAGATTTAAGTGAAGATAGATGTGATTAATAAGGTTGACTTAGATTTCAATGGACTTTCATTTAAGGATAACGTCGGGACATCAGCCTAAGCTAATCAGGTAAGTAGCTCACTCGTCGTAGGTTACGCGTTGTATGTTGTATGTTGGTACGTACCCGTAGCTTCGCACGTGTCATTAAATTGTATGCTAGTCTGTTATACTCGATTAAGTACCCTTGTCAAATGCGAATGTATGCTGTTTAGTGTGATATGATGTGCTATGTTTATGACGTTTATGATGTGTCTAGATAAGTCTGGCGTGAATGGTACTATAATTCTGAATGTAAACAGCATGTAATGTATGACATAAAATCACGATAAATTGCATGAAATATAACCCTGTTAGGATTATGTATGATACGTAGACTGAAAAATGAGAAGTGACATGTTAACATGAAAGATGATAGTGGGGTTATATTCATTAATGATAAAAGTAGAAATATTGGGGACCTCATGCATTATGTGTGCTCATGCCTTGAGGGATATCCCTATTCCATCACGAGAGTACGGACGTGTACATCCAATGGCAGGACAACGATCGTTATGTTTTGCATAGCGCTGCCGTGACGGTTACTAGTTCTAACGGGTGTCCGGCCTAAGGAGCTTCCAGAGTATGCTCGCCCGACAAGGAAAGTGGCCCATTAGTATGCGAACTGACTGGTGAGCCCATACTCGCACGTATGGGCTATGTGTAGAGTATATGGTACACGTCCAAATTTCCCGTTAGGACAGCACCGTAGGAAGATAGATTGAAAGATAGGTCCCATCATCTCATTTGCTTGTGATTGTTGCATAACCCCGATAGGGGGTCACTTACTGAGTATTATAGAAATACTCAAGTCTCGTGCTACTATATTTTTCAGATAAAGGCAAGACATTCTTGTACGGCTGACGATAACATCGCAACTCAAGACCATGACACATGCATAGGATAATTGTATTTATTTTCTTAGACTTAGGCTAGAATAGGATGTTTTTAACTTAAATGCTTATTTATTTTATTTAGTCTTTTGTTGTGTCGTTTTAAAGATGTTTTCGAAACACGTAAGTTCATGACTGTGTTTTAAGATAAAGGTTATGTTTTATGGAATTTAAATGAGATTTTCCGCA